CACTCAGAAACTGAATACTAAATTAAGGACTCCATGAAATCCTATGCCCTGTATTATCTAAGATAGAATAAGAGTCCCGTCGGGTCTTAAAAATCTATGAGTGTAGTTGAGAGTACATGTACTTCTAGAGGCTAGGCATGAGGTCCTCAAAATTGTCAGGGATGTGTTTTTCCTCAAAGTTTTTCCTCAAGAAAGACTAAATGATTTAGCCTGGGACTGCAAAGGGCTGCAAAAGTACCAAGCCCTTCTGATGTTCTTTTTTCCTTAACTCTAGGTGAAAATGTACACAGTCAACAGATGAACTTTGTTTTTGAAGAGGACTGAAAGACTCCAGAGGAATGTGGAGAGGAGATCAGCACCCTCACAAGCAGATCTGGTGAAAGGCAGATGCTGGCCACAGCTGGGTTTACATCAGACCTCTACAGAATTTGGTTCTTGCAGGCTCTTCTGGTCTTGGTGACCAATGTAGGTCTGTGACAGATGTTGTGTTGCGCCACATTTCTGAGGGCTGAAATCTGGATCAGTCTGTCCAGCTCTGCTCAGCCTCCTTTGCCAACTGGAGTTTGTCACTTCAGTTGAATGTCAGGAGATTTTTAAAATGTGAGGCTCCAAAATCATATCTTGTATAGTCATTCCTTTTTCCTCAGCTGGCTCTTTCCTTTCCTGCTTGTCATTGTATAGCAGCATATAGAACATCAGCAATTCCCACGGAAGTAATGTTTTAAGGCTCAGTATAGCATATTTTCCGAGGGTATTGTTTCAGGTGACAGATTAAATCACTGAGAGTAGAGTTGAGCTTCTTCATGAAATCATGTTTGATTTCATAAAGGGGAATTTCAGTAGAGTGAAGCTAGGACCGTCTTGACATCATTTACAGCAGAATTTCCCTCTTCTGCACATCCTCAACAAGTGTCAGGACTTGATGAAGAGGACCTTATCTTTCAGGTGGACCAATCTGAAGTCTCATCCTCCAGCTACCAATACCAAGAAGGTCTTCAGCTTGGATCTCGTAAGCACATTTTCAGTTTTGGTGGGCAGGAAATGTAGTGTGATTATATGCATGAGCAGTGCATAATTACTGAATAAACCTGGCAGCAGGTTTTTTTGTGTATGCTGCCTTTAGGAAACAATGACGTGATATTCTCATGCTGTCAGACTGGGAAATGATTGTCCTCTTCCCCCCCCCCCCCTTAGGTATCGTTTTGCATTCTTCTCTGACCCAATCTGTATTTCACCAGAAGTTTTCTCTTACCTTACACTAATTCCAAAAACATACCACTGACAACACCAGCTTCCTAAGTTCTCTCAGTGCTTTCCAGTCAGTAAAATGCTGTTGTTTAAACTAGCCTGGAAGGTGAATTCATGGCAGAGAGGATATGACCAGTCTGCTTCAAATCCTGCACTTACAGTTTTGAAAAATAAATTGCTAGGAAATTGTCATTTAATTCCTGTGCTTTGTTTTTTAATTGCATGATCCTAGAAGGAAATAGAGTTTAGTTTAAAGTGAATTGCTGTTACTTTTCAACATACTTGAGTAAAGTCCCTGAGCTACAATAAAAATAATAAACATAAGCAGCTACTGCTGAACTAAAGTGAAGATTCAAGCTCGGACATCCTGACCTCTGCTTTGTACCGTCAAACTACTCTGCCTGTGTTTTTTCGTTGTAGCCACCCTATAAAACCTAAGTAACCCTTCGCCTTGTTGCAGCATCAGTATTTAGGACAGCCCAGTACATTTGTAATCCAAAGAAAGATGCTGCTTTTGCCCAAGCCGGGTGACTCTGGAAAGCACATGGACACATACAGAATGTTCATTAAAAACGGATTAGGCGAAGATCTCATCAAACATACCGATTCCGCCTAAAATAAACGGCTTCTAAGCACAGGAAGTGGTAAAGGAATGGACGATTAGAACCGACTGGCTGGGTCTGCATATTTTAGAGAGCATTATGGAGCTGGTGTGTGTGGAACTAGGCTCTTTATTTTAGCGGTTCTGTTTAGTTTACTCGAACAGAAGAGTAATCATTGGTAAAAATGTTAGAGGTTATTCAATGATAAAACGTGGAGATTATAAAAAGATATCCTCGGCACGAAAAGTTAGAACAACGCTGCTTAAAAATGAACTGATTTTTAAAAAAAAAGTTGAATGTAGTGCAGCTTTCGCTGTTAGGTTCTAGATTTCTTTCCCCCAAACATTAGACGAAATTGCATTGTTTACAAAAATTTATTAATACAAACTTTACACACTTTATATAACAGTTATCAAAGTCCTAGTTATAGATATCATGTGTGTAATAATACTTTGTTTAAGTTCTTTTTATATTCATTTGCACACAAAATAATTTCTCCAAGACTAACATCTACCTAAACTATGACTGTATTTCAAATCTGCTCAGATTTTGGTAATAAGGCTGTTGGCGTTTCAAAAAATAAATTGGAAAAAAAAAAATTAATCATACAAAGGATAATAACCTAGGTGATCACTTCATAATGCTTGCGACTAGCCACTGAACTTCTAACGGATAAGGTCATAAATAAAACGTCAAAGAGAGCCCTATGTCATTACACCACAGCCGACACAAACACAGCAAACTCCGACCCATTGCCACAGAACAGAGAAGTACGACTAAAACGCAAGCCGATGTGTTGCAGCATCGTAGGGCCACTAAAGAGCCATCCGTGAAACTCGTGGCGATTAACAAGGTGAAGAGAAAGGCACGAAAGCTGCAAAACTGCGCTCCGCCTCCCTCCGCCCCGGGAACCCGCGCCGGGTGGGCAGCGGCGGCAGGGAGGGAGGAACTGCCGGGGGCACTGCGGGCAGCTGGGGCAGGGGCCGCCGGCACGGGGGGGCAGCGGGCCCACGGAAGCAGGCGGCGCCGGCAGAGCCGCCGGCCGTCGGGGAATTCGGGAGAACGGGCTCTGCCCGCTCCTCTCCTCTCCTCTCTTCCCCGCCGGCCGGCGGCGGGGGAAAGGAGTCTTTTTCCCTGCCACCTTTTTGGGGGTTTTTTCGGGGGGTGGTGGTGTGGGGGGTGCTTTCCGACGTCTTGAACGTTCGTTTGGTATCTTTGGAAAGACTCCTGTAAGGTTTGTGTGGTGAGCTGGAAGGAAGAAGGTACCTACTTGTCCTCCTTCGGCACCTGCCCGGGCGGGGGAACAGGGCCAGCCCCCCGGGCCGGGTTCGCTGCCGCTTTACTGTCCCCCAGGCGGAAGGTAAGATAGGAGTCCGTACATAGAGAGATGAGGTGGAAATGGTTTATCTCGTTAGAAACCACAGGTGAACACTACACATTCTTTTATGACAAAAGTTTGTTTTATGAAATCAATTTTACTAAGCAATAAGCCAGAATGTAGAAAAATACATTTTACCTCCAAACTCAATAAACAAGGAACAAAAACTTTCGTAGTAGTGCATAATTCTTTAGTGGTAGCTACAACAGGGGTTCCTAAACTTGTACAATAAGAGCTTGCATAAAACAGAACAAAGGAGTGAGAGAGCGTTCACAATCTTTTTTTATATATCTTTTTTTTTCTTTTTTTTTTTTCTTTTTTTTTTCCCCAAAAGAACATAACCGAAAAAGGTGACTCGGATGGGTTAAGCAGAATTGGAAAAGTGCAAAGAGACAATGAGAGGCAGGAGAGGGGTAAAAAAGAGAGAGGAGAGGGTGTTAAAAAAAAAAAAAAAAAAAAAAAAAAAAAAAAAAATCAATCAAAGAAAAAAGCAACTCCGAAGGAAAAAAAAAATAAAAAATAAAAGAATGCAAAGGCGAGAACCCTGCTCGTTACACGTGATGAGAAGCATGGACAGCACTGGAGAGTAACACACTGTACTTTGCATCCAGGTCCAGTACCGAGCTGCCCGGGGCAGTTGGGTAGCGGATCGGAGGTGGGATCGCCTCGTTTTCCTTCGACCCTGCGGCACCGGCTCCGGCTCCAGCCCCGGGGCGCGCC